AAGTCTAAGAAAGATGCTACTACAATAAGACATTTCCTGTCAGAGGGACAACTTGCTCCCTAGGCGGGCTGTCCCCAGGGTACCTCCTCAGGGATTCTCTTCTTTGCACTGGAAGCAGCAGTGTGAAGTCAAGGAGTTGGTCAGTCTAGAGCAGTGATGGTGATCCTTTCAGAGACCAAGTGCCCATACAGCAACCCAAAAGCCTCTTATTTACTGCCAAGTGCTAACACTGTGATTAAACCTGCATATCCAATGCTTAGCTGCTCGGGCAATGCTGGGGTGATTTGGCTCAAGTGCCAACAGAGATGGCTCTGCCTACCTGCTGTGGTAAGCATGCCATAGGTTTGCCACCACTGGCCTAGAGTCATTTGGATAATTTCCAATTCTGAATTTCCATCTAGCACAGTCTAGGTGGCTGAGCAATGACACAGTAGTTTTTATGTGCACATCACATGAAAATACGGACATTCTAAAAAGAAATCAAGTGAGGTTAGAAAGATCAGTGGGAACAAATAAAAATAGTTAGGTATGTTGTAACCTTCATCTGATCCAAACAGCAGTGTATACTTTGAGGCTGAGAATTCTAGGATAAAATTACAGCCTGGACCATGTGTACTACTATCTTCACAGCACTGCCATTCTCAAAGCCCAGATACTGCCTGCTACATAGGACATGGAACAGTGAAGCCATTCAAGTCAACAAGGATTGATTAAGTGGCTGCATGGTACTAAAAGTAGATAGAGAGGAATGCTTTAAGCATTCCATTGTTTGAATGCAAGGAATGCTTTGAACAAATTACTGTAATAGGCAAAATGGGTTTATCATAAAGCCCATGAGACATAAGCTTCAGGTCCTCTTACTTGCATGAATGCCTCTGAAAGTCTTACACCTAAATTTACATGTATAATGTAGACTCTTTTTCTTAAGAAGAATCCCCTAAATTACCTAAGCTTTAGGCACCACAAAGCCTGAATAAATTTCTGGTGGCAGCTACAAATCTTTGGCCATGAAATCACATTTGTAAGAAATTTGACTTCAGCGTGGCTATTATTGAATTTATTTCCTATTGGGACACACATTTCACTGAGCAGAAGAAAGGATCTCCGCTAACCCAGAGATTTTGGCAGGTTCAGAGTAGAGATTACAGAGTGCCAAAGTATTGGGAAAGAGGGGGCATCTGTTGTCCCTTGTTCATGCTCCATGTCTCTGATTGACTGATGTTCCTATCTGACCAAAAAGTGTGTGGTCCAGGTAGATTGTGTCTACTTCTTGTCCTGACCTTGAGCTCTCTTTTGCTAAGTTTTCTCTCAGCTTCTTCTATGTCCTTGAAAGGTCAAAAGATTCAATTTGAGCTGGACATGATGGCACACACCTGTAATCCTAGCACTCTGGGAGGCTAAGGCATGTTGATCACAAGTTTGAGCCCTGCTTGGGCAATTTAGCAACTTAGTAAGATCCTGTCTCAAAATAAAAATTTAAAGGGGCTGTGAATGTACCTCAATGCAACAGCTCTGGGTTTAATGCCCTGTACCCCCGTCTCCTACATCAAATTCAACTTAGCTACCCCTTGGCACAACTCTTGTAATACACGGAAGTCTGAAGATGTATGAAATTATCAGTGTTTAGAAATATAAAGCACTCATGTCCACTTTGCTGGTCCTATGCTCTGCCAGGCACTGAAAGTTTCTCTACGGCATGCCTCTTTCCTGGACTTACCTTGGAATTGAGGCAGGGTTCCTGTGTGTTTTAAAGATCTCTGTGTCTACTTAGGCTAGAACCAGGGTTTGGTTGCAAGAGAGTAAAGACAGTACTCCCTTCTAGAAGAATTAGTGTATAAGCCTTCTAGTTACCCTCATTCATGGTAACATCACTTGAGTCAGAATGTGCAGTGAGGACAGTAACTGTCTGCAGCTATCATTTTTGCATAAACACTATGCATTGTGTTTGGCTTCTTTTTCAGAGACAAGGTCTTGGCTTTTGAAGCTTAAAAGCAAGTAGTCATATAACTTGAAACTGTCAAACTATCAGTATCTCCCTTGTTTCAAAAAACAATTTTTGAAACTTGAAAAATCAGAATTGATATTCTCTGCACTGGTTTGGATGTGTCTGCTCCTCCCAGAGGAAATGGAGGTAAAATGTCCAAGCTGAGAGCCTGTCAGATACAGGGAATTGGTTAGTTATTCATAGCATTATCTGGCCACATTGTCTATTCAATAATGGCATTTCAGTGGCTACGAAACTAACCATGATGCAGGTGTCTGCCCTGGCAACTTTTCTTCCTGTCAGAAAATGTTCTAACTCATCGATTTTAATGAATGTCTGCTCATATGTTATGGATGGGTGCCCATTGTCAAGAAATAACATGTACTTGGTCAGGGATATTTGAGCATTCTGGGTAGAACTATAATAATAAGTCTTAGGGTCACTTTAAACAACCAGAATAAGAAAGATGAAAAGTTGGAAAGTTTCATTTTCTAACTTTGCATTTTGCACATTTGACATTAGAATTTTGGGACTCACCCTCAGTGATGACTTTCACTAATGGAGAATATAATTTAAAGTACTCAAACATAAGTCCTTAGGCAAAAAAGAAAAATTAAAATTGGATATTATATTCCAATGCTGCTAAAATAGTGGTTTTGAGAATCTTTATTTTCTAATAACACAATTTTGAGTAGTTTAGAAAGCAATATTTAAATGTTTTATTAATTGGGAGCATTAAAAGGTGAAGAATTTTTGTTGTATAGCATCTTTCTTGTATAATAAAGTGCTTAGCAAAGACTTGAAATTCTTCACAGAATTGACATACAGAAATAACTATTTTATAAACTTTAGTAACCTTTGTGCATTACTTGAAATCATTTGAAGAGAGACATGCTATTCTTACGCAGGAGAAATACGAAAAGATGTTTTAAATACATTTGAACTAGTTCTCTATGATTTTTATCTCAGTGATAATTACACTTCTGATTTATCTTCCAAACCTGCTCTATGAAAGTTAATGACAGTGAAGTGCAAAAGAATGACAATTCAGAATTAATCAAGAATAATTGAATCAGGATTTAACAACCTCTTAAAGTCATTCATAATTCAAATTTTAAAATATTACATGTGGAAACAATTATAATTATGTCCATTTTGCTTCCTCTAGAGTTGCTTATGAGGGTTGTGAACTTTGGATCTGTTTTCCTTTAACAGTGGGTATAATTTTAAAGAATGCTCTGATATCTTCAATGACTATTGGAGATACTTTGAAGATATTTCCAAGGTGAAAGAAACAGAAATACAGAATCACTGGAAAGAAGAAAGAATTTTATAACCAGAGCAGGCTTGATCAGTGAAAATAGGCATTAAAATTGGAATTGCTAAGATGAACTTTCAATTTCCAATTAAGGATCAGTGTATAAACTCCTCTGCTTCATTCTGTACTAAAGATAAAGAATTTTTCCAATTTCACTTTTCAATAATGAAAAATAGAAATAATAGAAGCAAATGCCTGAAGTGTATTTCTGCCTAACTTTCCTTATTCACAAAGAATTGTCTCTAAAGTCTAAGCCTTAGCTATAAATAAATAATAAATTAATATTGAAAAGGAGGATAAAGTTCTTGACCAAATAAAGTTAACATCAATAATTACTATGTAAACTCAAAAAAGCAATAAAATTTTGTCCAGTAAGCTATTATCAGCTAGGAAAGGTTGAAGAGTTGATGAAGGATGTTAATTTTTTAAAATGGAAATTGAGAGAATTCAAAGTCTTCAAACCCTTTGTCACTTATTCATTTATATTTTCTCATTCATATTGTCATTCATTCATTTATTAATTGCTCCAATATCTGTTGAGCTCTTTACATGCCAGAGTGTTTTAAAAATCATACTCTAAATTCTAATAAATAAGTATTCAGAGAAGTGTTTTTGTTAACGAATTTAACTAAATACTTTTTTTAATGTTTGAGCTCCTTTATTGCTATATTCAAATGGGAAGGGGAACAAGGGAGGAAGGTGGGGAAAAAAGAAGGAAGGGAAAAGGAAAAAAGTGAAAATAGGAAAAAATGGAAACAAAGCTTTTGTACATAGGAAGGGGAGGAGGCTTGAGGGGGGAATGGGATTTAAAAAGATACATTTTATTAAGTGTTATACCAATAGAAATCTATAAATCAGATATTTAATTTTAAATAGAACCCTTAAGACACATTTCATTCCTCATTGGAAATTGATATTCAATTAACATGCATTAAAATGAAAATATTTAACTACAGATATATGCCATTGACTTTTATTTTTCAGTATGTGATATTGAATCCAGGTTCTTTGCAATGAACCATATCCCCGACCCTTTTTACTTTTTGTTTTGAGCCAGGTCTCACTAAGTCACTGAATTGCTGAGCTTGAACGTGTTCTCCTCCTGCCTCAGCCTCCCAGAATGCTGGGATTATAGGTGTCTGGCACCACACTTGACTTGCTAATGACTTAAATTTCAGCATTATTATGTTGTTACTTAAAATTGACTAAGCATCAAGAGTCCACTTACCACCTAGCTGATATATACAAATGTAGATAGTTATTAACATAGCTAAAGAGAAAGGCGAGACTTCTGCCATGGGTTTGAGGTAGGGTTCATTTTATTATAACATACCAGTTCCACAGCATTGTACAGTGCTGCTCATAGTAGAAAAACAATTTCCTTTGACATCATCTATTCTCTTAAGAATAGTGTGGCTATTCATGTGCGGCTTGTGTAACTAAGAATTAAGTGGTCATAAAAATAAATAGGTCTGTACCCATTTATATATGTCTGAGTTAATTCTCTTTGGTTAAGCTTTTAATTATATTCAATTATTTCCTGTTAGTTCATTGAAAAACCTGAAAAATGACTGAGTGAGGAGTAACCAGCATCATCACAACTTACAAGTTATGTTTTTAAGGAAACATCACACTAATTATGGCACTGTCTGTAGTGCTTAAACAAACAAAATTTAAACAGTGTTATTTTCATTTTAGATGCGATCTGTGAGCCGAGTCTTCAAGTTTATCGACATGCCAAAAGAAGGTGCACCTGCCAGGCCTGTCAAACCATCCAGGGATGACCAGCTCTCGAAAGTTATGATCATTGAGAATCAACACGTGAAGAAAGATGACATCTGGCCCTCAGGGGGTCAAATGACTATCAAAGACCTCACAGCGAAATATGTAGATGGTGGCAATGCCATATTGGAGAACATTTCCTTCTCAATAAGTCCTGGCCAGAGGGTGAGATTTAAACATTGCTTGCTTTGTTAACACCCTACTCAGTGACTCCCAGCAGCCTTAAGCAATGTGTTACTAGAATCTATTTGTAACACTATTATTATATAGTAGGACCAATACTAAATATACATATATCAGGTTGTTATTATATGAAGTCATTATATTTCATATAAAATCTAATTTGTAGAGTCTTGACTCTATTAATAGGCTCACTTAAAATGTGATAATGCTTGCAGGATATCTAATTAATTGCTAGTTTATCATCTATAGATACTGTACAACAAACCAAAGCTGCATATTTTAAGTTTCCCATCTTCAAAATATCTTCCAATAGGATAAATAGTTTTTTTGTTCAATTTTCTCTTCTTCAATTTTATCTGTTTGAGAGTCTGTTACACAAGTGATACTTTTTTTCAGGTTTCTTTTTTTTGAGCTTTCACAAAGATATAATTTTTTCCAACTTATTGACTAAGCAGAAATTATGGAAAAATAGTTACTTAGCAATAATTTTGTTACTTAGCAATAATTTTATACTTATTAAACGTAACTATGCATTATTTTGAAGTGTTTCTTATACTATCAATCCCATCACTGTGTTGGACACAGAGGGAACTTATATACAGATTTTTTTGAACTGATTCTTGGAGAAGTTTTTTTCTTTATTTCATGCACTATAAATAGTTTTACATTGTATTCAAATCCTTTCATCTGGTTTACTTTATAATTCTAGAGAAGAGTATTACATATTTTTATTGATTTTTTAAATTGAGATAGTGTAAAAATAGCCAGGTCTTGAGAAAACTGAATTTTAAAACTTAATCTTTTTGTGGTTCATTTCAAATAGAGATTTTAAAAAAGCATGACAGTTAGTAAAGATATTAAGCTACCATTATTAACACTGACATAGAAACAGACAATTGCCATTTACTTTTTGGAATATTTGATAAACATTTAATGCATTGACCCAAATTCTGTTTAAAAAAAAGTATAGGATAAGCAAAAAAGTACCATGCAAAATGCTTTAAAATGGAACACTGGAAATTTTGACTCATCTTTGTGTCTTAGGATAAATTCGTGTATCACTAAAATTAACTCTATTATTTTGTTATTGTTGTTCATCAAGAATGGGATTTATTTTTTCTATTCCTGAGGAAAAACAGTCTTAGACGGGCATAAGTGAAAAGATTTTACTTTTTAGATTGAATTTTCCCCTAATATTAGCATGAGTATATGTATAGGTTTTTAGGTTACATTAAGAGCCCTCATGAAATCTCTGAAATCTCTCATTTTTGTTTTGTTGTTGGAATGTGAGAAATGTTAATTATGCTTTGGAACTATGTCAAATTAGTGATTTGGCTTGGCTTCTCCTTTTCATTGGAAAAAGCATAATTAACCAGTCTGTTTTGCTTTGCACATCAATGAATACCACAGGGAGCTGAGCCTGTCTTTCTGGGTCACCGGGATGGATGCCAGAGGTGCAATCATTATTACAAATAATCCGTACAAATGGGTTGTTATAAAGCAGAATGGAAGCCTTGATGAATTATTGGCTTCAACATGGTCTAACTTTATCTATCCCTTTATTAATCCATATGAGGCTTTACATTGAAGTGGATAGTTTATAGACCACATTTAATTGGGTCATATTTTTGATCCACACTGACAATCTCTTTTTTAATTGATGTATTTAGATGTTGGCATCTAAAGTGATTATTGATATAGTGGGATTAATACCTATCCTATTTGTTACTGTTTTTACATTGTGGCTTCAGTTTTTTTTCCTCCCGTCTTAGAATAGTAATCTACTTTTTTTGCTTTTTTAGTAATTTCTCCAGAGTTTGTAACATACATTTATGACTAATCCTAGTTCATTTTCATTTAATACTGTATTACAGTTTTATGGGTTGTGCAAGTACTTTATAATGAACTATTCCCAGATCCTCTTGTCCCTTATATTCTTGCTAGGATTCATTTTATTTGTTATATATGTATATATAAAAATACATATAAGGGCCAGGGATTTAGCTCAGTGGTGCCACTGCCTGCCTTGCAAGTGCAGGATCCCAAGTTGGATCCCTAGTACCAAAAAAACAAAACAAACAAAAACACCCCATACATATGTATGATAAAATACATTGTTGCCATAATTATTTTATTTTATTTTATTTTTTTGCCATAATTATTTTAAACAGCTTTCTGTAAGATCAATTAAGAATAAGAAAAATTGGGCTGGGGATTTAACTCAGCAGCATAACACCTGCCTGGCCAGAGCGAGGTCCTGAGTTCGATCCTCAGTACAAAAAAAAAAGAAGAAAATTTATGTTCTCATTCTGCCTTCACTTATTCTCTCATATTTTTCTTTTATGTATCCAACGTTTTTGTCTTTATATACATAAAGTTTCTTTAAAAATTTTCATTTTCATTAGTATATGTTTGCAGTGCACAACGTGGACAGTTGCTATATATGCATAACACATCTTAATTCTTTTCACTTCCTCTTTTCCTCCCTTCCCTTCTCCCTCCTGCCATTTCTTGGACCACTTTTTGTTTTCATTTTTATATTTTATTGCTTCTAATGCTTCAAACCGTGGGAAATCTTTGGTAAAAATAAAGACTAAAATTTTCACAATAACTTTATACAAAGCTTTGCACAACAATGTTCTTCAATACACATGAAATAATACAGGAATGTTCAGAGTTCTCAGGGAGGAAATTACTGTACAAGATCCATAGTCCTTCATTTCAAAACAAAACTTCTTTCATAAATATTTGAAATATTTCCTAGGTTCTTACCACATATTAACATTTGTATTTCAATAAGTATGTTGAACTTTAAAGTATTTATATTATTTAAATAAAAATCAATAAACAGAAGTTCTTTTCCCTATTGCCTACTATAGCATCAAGTCACCCTCCCCCTCAATTCTGCTTATTTTACATAAAACTAGAGGGATGTAACTAAAATGAAAATCGGTATGGTTCATATTCAAGCCCTCTGTGAAAAAGAGGAAAATGTTTCATGTCTATTATGACACAGATATTTCTCTGGTGGTTTATTTGTGGAGCTCAAACTTGACCAGCTTTACGTTGATCTAAATGAGTGCTCAGCTCAGGACACAGCTCAAATAGCAGCAGTTCCATCAGCTCTCGGTCCACTTCTCACTTGCACAATATCAACCTGTTTCATTTTCCTTTTCTCTGAAGACCTTCTTTTAGGATTTCTTTGAAGACAGGCCTGATGACACTGTCCCTTCATTTTTGTTTGTCTGATAATTCTTATTTTGCTTTCACTTTTGGAGGACAATTTCATGGCATACTGAATTCTAACTTGATTTTCCCCCTCTCAAAACTTTAAATGTTTCACTACACTCAATTCTTTTTTAAAATTTTCATTTAAATTTTTTTTTTTTCGACAGGGCCTCATTATGTAGGCCAGGCTAGACTTGAATTCGCTATATAATCCAAGCTGGCCTCAAATCTGCAGCAATTCTCCTGCCTCAATCTTTTGGGTAGAGTTTACAGGCATGTACCACTAGCCCAACTCTCCACTCAATTCTTTTTCCTTTTTTTTTTTTTCATTTCTTTATTATATAGTTTCAGAGAAGTTATGATTTCATCCTTGATTTTTTATAGACAATCTTTTTTATGCTCTGGTTTCTTTCAAGATTTTTTTTGTAGCTTTGAACATAGTATGCTATACAGGCATGTACCACTAGCCCAACTCTCCACTCAATTCTTTTTCCTTTTTTTTTTTTTTCATTTCTTTATTATATAGTTTCAGAGAAGTTATGATTTCATCCTTGATTTTTTATAGACAATCTTTTTTATGCTCTGGTTTCTTTCAAGATTTTTTTTGTAGCTTTGAACATAGTATGCTATATAGGCTTTTATAGTATTTTTCACATTATTCTGCTTGGTTTTCTCTGAGCTCTCTGGTGGTATAGTATTTAACACTCCTTTGGAGAAATTCTTAGTCATTGATGTTTCACATATTTCTTCTGTTCCTTTTTCTCTTGTTGTTCTCTTTCCCATACATTAAACCACCCTTTTTGTAGCTGTCTCACAGTTCTTGAATACCCAGTATTTTTATCTTTGGTTTTTAGTGTTGAAAGTTTTTATTGATTCAGCCTCAAGTTCAGAGATTTTTCTCTCATACATGCAGTCTACTTATGAACTTATCACAGGCATTCTTCCTTTTTGTCACGTGTTTTTAATCTTTAGACTTTCTTTTGATTTGGTCTTAGAATTTCCCCCTTTTCTATTTACATTATCCATCTGTTTTTGCATATTATCTACTTTTTTCATTAAAATCTTTATCATATTAATCAGAGTTGTTTTAAATTCTAATTCCGATTTGTTCTACCTCTGGTTCTGATGCTTGTTCTGTGTTTTCAAGTTGATTATTTTATTTTTTACCTTACAATATGTTTTGTAATTTTTTTGCTGAAAGGTGGACATAATGTTCTAGATAAAAGGGACCAAAGGAATAAGTCTTTAGTAATGTAGTAAGGTACTGAGGGGATAGGGTAGTGGACCATGAATTTTAACAAGTGGTATTCTGGTTTTTCACCTCCTTAGGTGGGACAAGATGGCTAGACTGAGCTGGAGTTGAGTATTTCCCTTCCCTTAGGTTAGTTGGGCTCTGAAATAAATTTCTAATAAGGTAGACCTGGCAAATTAGTTTGTCTTAAGGGTAGGCCTGGTTAAAAAGAAGAAAATGTGTCAGTCTATATTAAAATGTTTGGTTACTTTCTCCCTGTTTTTGTATGAAGTATAAAGGAGTTTTCCTCTGACCTTCAGAGTGAGGACATGTAAGGCTAGTTGCTAAATTCACAACTCTTTGGAGGTCCCTGATGACTGGTCACCCCTGGAATTGTTTTGCTCCCAGACTCATCAATTTTTAGTCTCCATCAATTTGTCAGCTACAGTTTAGGCTCTCCCACTCTGGTACTGGTTCCCTCAGAGTTTTCTACTTGGTGATTTCTATTTGGTAAGTTGTGATTCTCTGTATCTGTTTGTCCATCTTCAGTTTTGGGAAATAGTGTTTTGACTGTGACCTTGCTTCTCTGGCAGAGCCAAGAAAAGTTATTGATTTTTTCAGTTTGCTTACCTTTATATTTGTTAAGATGGAATGACCACTTGCTAGTGGCACACTTGTCAGACTGGAATCTGGAAGTCCTGTTTTTTATTGTTTTATCCCTTTGTTTACCACATTAGGTAGCTCAATAAATTTTAGATGAATGGATGGATGGTGGATGGATAAATGAATGAATGGCTTAAGCCAACTTTTAGATTGTAGGCTTCCTTATAGTAGAAATTGATCTCTGGGATGCCATTCTAAGCAGTTCTCTTATGAATGTAATTTCTATGTATGGCCTTGCTCTTAGTATTGTAATGACATCTTGCTAACTGTGTTCCAAATGTATTTCCTACATCCTGAATTAAGAAAGAGATTCAAAATTGGTATACTGTTTTGGAAGACTGCCAGCCCAGCTGTGAGTTAATTACTCTTCTTGGTGAAAAAAAACCTTTTGAAAATTCAGGGTTTAAATAGAAGTCTCTTTAAAATTTTAATAAATTTCAGTGTTCTTGGATATATGCAGAGCAAAAGGAAAAAAATCAATATTTGTGCAGAAAAATTATTCAATCTTCATATTAAAACACTTAGTCCATAGCAATTTAGGGAAAAGATGTCCTATTACTTTAGTTGCTCTTACTTGAACTTATGCTTTGAAAAATTTTATTTTCAGTGCATGAAGAATATAGCAAATACTTCACAGCTACTACTCTAAATGAATCTATTTTTTCTCTTCAATCTCAAATAGCTTTTTTAAAGATGCTTTTGATTTTTTGTTTACATTTCACCTTTCCCTGACTAGAATATCTAGTTTTTCCTTTCCTTTTTCTTCTCAAAATGGAAGCTGGAGTTTTAATTTGGAGTCATATTCTCATGATAAAACTGGACTTATCAAAATTGTTCAGATTGTATGCCCATTGTCTTGGGCAGCCTGTGGTTACATACACAAATATTTAATAGTATTTCAAGATCTGTTATTTTTGGTAATTTTAACTGGTTTCTCTAGTTGTAGTCCCTACAAAATGCTGCAGTTTTCAGAAATGATTCATAGGAATATTAAGATTTCAGATCAAATCAGTACAAACATCCAAATGCCTCTTTGATTTGTTAAACACATATCCCATTTCTGTCTTGATAAAAATTGTTATGAAGTAGATGAATCATTCAGTTTGAGCTGCATAAATTTTATTAGTGATAAATAGATATATGGAAATAAAAGTTCAGTTATAATCATATTGTGGATCTAATAAGGAAAGGAAAATAATTGCATAAGTTTTCAATCTGTTGCAGTATTAAAATGACAAGTAAGACACTGTAAGGAATGTACTAGGACTGTTCTATTCATGGAGAATGCAATTACAATTAGCACAAAACTCAACATTATTTTACTGTCCTCATAATACTTCGATTTATCTTAATCCAAAATTCCAAAGGAGGAGTTGCATTGAAGTTACTAGAAAATATTGACTTGGAATTAGGGTGTATTTCAAAAGCTGACTTTGTTAGCTACAAACTAATGAAATTTCTTCCTATTGGAAAACTTGTCAGACATAATGCATCACCAATAGTTCAGTGATATGAAGGAAACTAAAAATTTCAATATTTGCTTTTGAAGGAAAGGCAGTATGGTCATTTATTCTGCTAATTAGAACCCTGATTAATTATGTAGAGATTTAGACCTCAGAATACTTTTTACCAGATATTCTTGATATGAATTTAAAACAAATCATTTTCACATATTGAATTCTTTTCTTCTCTTCCCCCTATACCTCACTTACATTGGGAACATTCAGATAATTTATACAGAGCTCATCTGCTCATCTATCTATCCATCCAACCATCCTTCTAGTCCTTCCATCTGACTGTTTTCCAGTCAATCCAAATGAGCACTTACTGAAAACTTTATATAAGCCAACCATTGTGCCAAAGAATGGAAAGCCAGATAGACCACCTACCTTTGGTATACTTAGATTCTTGGGGTGAAGACAAGTAATCTCAAGAAAAAAATAAGCAAAATAATAACCAAGTATAATTAGTACTATGAAGAAACACAACATTGTGTTATGCATAACATTTGATTGATTTGGTTTTCACAGTTGTTGAAGAGAACAGACATTTTGGAAAGTCCCATAATAGAGCTCTTATGATGGCCAGGAAGACAGTCATTGTCATTATTGGTTCCCAACTTCTCTAAACACTTAGTTTACTAAACACTTAGTGTATGCCAGATAAGTATAAACTCTAAAACATTTATTGTACTCTATGCACTGGTTCTATGAAATAAGTATAATATTTGCATGTCACAGAAGTCATTCCATCACTTTTACCCAACAGGTGGGCCTCTTGGGAAGAACTGGATCAGGGAAGAGTACTTTGTTATCAGCATTTTTGAGACTGCTGAACACTGAAGGTGAAATTCAGATTGATGGTGTGTCATGGGATTCAACAACTTTGCAACAGTGGAGGAAAGCCTTTGGAGTGATACCACAAGTAAGCAAAAATATGTAGCCAGATAAACGAGCAGCTGAAGTATATTTTAAAAAATTATTTCTTATCAGGGATGGTGGCACATGCCTGTAATCCCAGCATTCAGGAGGCTGAGACTGGAAGATTGCCAGGAGTTCAAGGCCAGTCTGGAGTACATAGCAAGACCCTGTCTCAACCCCCCCCCAAAACAAAATTATTTCTCTTTTTTGCAGTGCTGAGAATCAAACTCAGGGTCTTGTGCATGTTAGGCAAGTGCTCTATTACTGAGCTATCTGTGCATCCCCAAAATGACATCTTTACCATTATTTGACATTTACACTCAAGAAATTCATATTACTCTGCAAAATACATTTGTTATGCATTGCTGTCTTTTTTCTGCAAAGCCAGAAAAAATGTCATAGGAAGAAAAATCTCTTTAAAAATCTCTAAAAGTTTGGAATTCTGTGTGACATAAAATTATTTAAATGTTCCAAGTTTTAATAATTCCCAGAAGACACGTCCTGTAGCAGGAGCATGGGGCTTTTGTTTTTTCCAGCTTTTTTTTCTGCTTCAGTGGTCTGAGCTCCAAGTTAGCAATCACAGCAGGTTGAGAAATGCTTTGTAAGACATAAAAGATGCTTCTAAAATAACAAGCACTTGGAAGCATGAGGTAGTAGAATTGAAAATAGAAAGTATAATGATTGTTTTCTATCTTTGGATAGGAAGAACCATGTCAGATTAATCTGTAGGTGTTTTGTTTTTCACAAAGAATCTTTAGCCTCACTGGCTTAATATCTTTCTATCTGTGTTACTGTGCAAGTAGACTTCTTGTTCATGAGGGAAGTAGTAACAGTTACCAGTGTAAGAGAATCTAAATGAAAGGTATTTTCTGTGTTTCTGTTGACATTTACTCTCATCTCTATGGGGATTTTCATTGCTTTAATGATCATTTTTTCCCCTTTGTACCAAAAGCCACTGAATCCATTCTACTAACGTGGTTCCAACAATTTTCTATGTTTAACACAAAATTAAAATCCCAAAAGCATTGCTCAGTGGACTGACTACAAAGCTAGACCAAGAAAAATGCTTGTATTTCTTGATTGGCCTTGTGAAACATTTGTTACCTTCAGCTGAGACACTAATATATATAGTGTAACTGCTAAGCTGATGCCTTTAATTTATTTGTCCAAATTTGTCCATGTTTCCAGAAGCTTAATCTTGGCTGGAGTTTTGAAAACACTATTATTTTTCCAAAAAGAACAAAGATATTGTCAGATGGTCTAAAGATAAAGAAACACTAGAAATACAAGTATCCCAAGGTGATAGTGTTAGGCAAAATAAAAATGCTAAAGAGCATGGAATAGAATTTGGTTGCCACAGAAGTGTTGTGACTCAGTTTAACCTGCCTTCTGGGTCCATTTTTAACAATAATGAAGCTTTGGGTTTTTTTTTATTCTTGTTCACACAAATCTGTCCATTAGCATAATCCAAGCTCTAAAAGTTAATTTCAATTTCACTAGGAATCTTTTAGTTTATCTGCCATGTGGTTGAGAGATTTTTGTCTTCTTGCAAGCTCTACTTAGGAACCTAAATATTAAGACCTGAAAGAACCAAGTAGGACAGAGCTATGAACAAATTTATCTTGCTTTTCTGTTCATGTGAATCTTTCAGACTTGTCTTTCATTTCCCTCTCCTATGGCTTCAAGGTTTATATAGACTAAAGAAGTACTTTCAGAGATTCCTTCAGAAATGTTGCAGTGTAGGTGGTTCTCGTGTGCAGGTGTATGACATTGGTGTCCGGGAATGACTCTCAGGAGCACAAGTACATCTGTTGGCACAGTGTACTGTTTCTTCAGTGACATCTTTTGAATATTATGTGAATGCTCCAAAGAGAGGAAGAGAACAAACTCATACACTTTTGATGTCTAAGCTAAGGGATATTTATTTTTCTTAGAAAGTTCAAATTAAATTTTTTTTTTCGCTGTCCTGGAATGTTATTTTAAAAAAAGGAAGGAAAAGGGAATGAAATATCCAAGGAGAGCTAACTTTGTTTGCTTTTTCATCCCTTTCTTTCTTCTTTCTTCCACACTTTGCAAGGGTATGGTTCTGAAGATCTCTGACACTGAACTGTCGTAGGCAGCAAGGAGGATTGTAGTCAGAGTCCTATCAGCTTAAGCAATTCCAAACACCAAGACTAAAAATTGATCATTAGTATTGAACTTTTAATTCATGAAAAACAGACAAATAATTTTTAAATGTGTGTTTAAAACTTCGTTTACAAGTCTGAAAGATTGCAAGCTGTCTGAGGGAATGTCTAGGCCTATTTTTACAATAAGAGTTTATAATATAAAAACAGTCTATGTCCACACCTGACTCCTACCACAGAGATGGGGCATCCTTTGCTCTGAGAAATATCAGATAGGGCCAGAACATTGTTTTATAGATATCAACAATGAAATTTGAGAGCCCAGCAGTTCTCATTCACTTCAATAGTGATTAACCATGGTTTTGCCGCCTGCTGTGCAACCGTAAGGACCCAAGCTTGATCCCCGGTACCCCCCCCCCAAATAGTAATTAACCATTTAATAATTATTAAACACCTATATGCCTAAAGTTTTAAATATTACAGATTCTGTAGTTATGTGACACTTGTCCTTGAGGTGTCCAGTGAGATCCCAGTGCTACCTATCAACTTCTAATGAGAAGCTCAAAATCACACTCATAGTCCTATCATAGATCTAAGGAAGAAAGAATATGACAAAAATGATAAATTAAATATAGACAAGTTTAGAAATAATTTGAAGCATGGGCTAGTCCAGGAGTGCTGAGAGTAATTCTGAGAGGAAGTCTAGCCCCAATCCCCTATTGTGACCATTTCTAAAGGAAAGTAAGGTTACTTTCCTTTGTTCTTACTCCCACTGCCATGCTTATCTGCTCATCTTTCTTCTCATTCCTCCATTTGAGCCAGAATTGAGCAGCAATATATGTTTAAGGGTAGAGAGTTATTCCTCCCACTTATTTAATTTATATTACATTCAGTCACCACAGAAGCCAAATTGCATTTTTTTTCACTTGATATCCAGTGCTGGAGTCTAGTGCCTGTTGCAGTGACACATGACCAGCTCTGAGAACTCCCTGTAGGCTCAGCTGTTTCCACTGAATGGAAGAGTTGAGGAGTTGGCTTTGGAGAAGAGATTAGTCATTTATTTTTTCTGTGGCTCAAGAATTGCTCTTTATACCATACATGACATTAAACAAATATCAAATATTTGCACACCCTTTCTTAGTAGTGAACAGTTTCTTAAGAGGGAGATCATTGTGTTTAGTCATCTCAGACACATTTTCAGTATACAATGAATCTGACTGTGCTATATTGGCCAAACTATGTAACCTCAGTACCTCAGCTGTTTCATTTGTAATGCAGGAGAAAAGGACTTAATGACTTCCAAGGGCCTTTCAGCTATAGAGATGAGTGTACAGAAAGTTCAAACAGGCTGAAAAACAGTTAAACCACATACTGGCACCAGTGGAAGCAAAAAAGTTCCAGACCTTATTCGTAATACAGGAAACATCTGATTGATTGTATGAAATTGAATTCTGACTCAGTTTGTTCAGTTAATCTTTCCTTGAAATAAAAAGAGTACATAGTTCATTACTTTATACTAGACAATAAACTCTAAACAAAAGCCCTACAGATTTCTGAATAGTAACAAATTACCACACCTAAAACTTTTAGATGTCTGTCTTACAGCTTTCTTCCTTCATAATTTTGAATATATTTATATTTTAAATAAAATTAATATATCTTATATATTTGGTAAATACTGTACTTTGTATAAATTATCAGCATTCTGAATAAAAGTTAGACAAATCATTTCTTAGGCAGTTATAAAGGACCATAAAAGTTTTAATGGGTTGTTACTATTGTTTAAAAACTGTAATACTTGTAAGCATTCGAGTCACATGTTAATAGAACTATACATCATACACACATACCCTTCTGAACCAAAGCAAAATGTACCTTGCAGAAGCTATTCTTTAAACTGGAAGAAAAATAACATGCTGAATTCTGACTTTGACATTTTTTACTCATACTTTTTATCCACATATCCACCACTCATTTGTTCTGGCAACATTTATTGGGCTGTACACTAGGTGCAAACTTTGTGCTTACAACAGGGTACACATCAAAGTTACAGTCTTATAGGAGAGATGGACTTTAGAAACAAAATGCCCACAGAGGTGTATATAACCTTATATTCACAGAAGCCATGAAAGTCTAGGAGTAATGGGACCATATTTTCAGAAGCCTTATTTGGTATTGAGGATCAGAAAATGTTCCCTAAAATGAAATACAATTTGAAACCTGAAGCATGGAGTTAGCCATGAGAAGAGTGTAGAACTTTTTTTTTTCCCCATTAAGTTTATTGGTACATTTTAGGTATAAAATACAGTTACATTTATCATTGGGTATACCATTACGTGAGTATCTTGGTTCTTATTTTTTCCCCTTCCCCTGCCATCGCTTCACCCCCTCCACCCTTCCCTATTTGCAAAGACTTTGTTTCCATTTTTTTTCCTTTTCTCAAATTTTTTCTTTTCCCTTCTTTCCTTTCCCACTTCCCCTGCTTCTTTAGATCTTTACTTCCTATTACACAATATCAATTATACATTTTTAAAATTAAGATATCAAGATCTAGGAGATATTATCACAGATTTTACAGAATTTAAAAGGATATAGAAAGCATATTACAAAAATCTGTTTTGAAATAAATTTGACAACTTCTAAGAAGTACCTTGGAA